TGGTAGTGGTAGTGGTAGCAGTAGCATTATTATTATTAGTAGTAGTAGTAGTAGCAGCAGTAGTAGGAGTAGGAGTAGGAGTTGCAGTAGCAGTAGCAGTAGCACGAGCAGTAGTACTAGAAGTCGTCGTCGTCGTCGTCGTCGTCGTCGTAGTAGTAGTAGTAGTAGTAGTAGTAGTAGCAGTACTAGCAGTAGCAGGAGTAGCAAGCAGTACTAGTGCAAGGGTGATAACCATAATCGCATCGGCAGTCGCAGTTCAAAGGGCCATGGCTGCCACACTGTTAAGAGCACCGCACCTCTGAAAATCTGAACACACTACCAAAGAGCTCCAGCCAAAATGGCTGGGTTTGGGGTTTAACTCAGGTTTGTCATGCCGTCATGCTGTAACTGTGGTGGACATTAGGTTGTTCTGCTCTGGCTCGGCTGACTTGCTTCTAAGGTTGGAGCTGATTGCGTAACGCCGAGTACAAATGCTCAAGAATGCTGCTGACACTGCGAATTCGCAGAATCGAATTGCCTCAATCAATCCGAATTCCAGGACGGTCGTCTTGAGAGATCGAAGACTGTCCTAAGAGCATTACGGCATTTTAAGTGAGATGGCGTTGCGTGTAACGATGAGTTGCAAGTCCAGTTGCTGTGGGCTGCACCAAACCCTCGGAATTTGTCAAGCCAGGAAAGCAACAGCGAATGCGGCAGCAGCAGTTCCCTGCTGGTGCAAGATGACTTCTCCGGTACTTCCATGCTTGGTCCCGGTTGCAGCATGACAATTCCACCAGGAAGGCCGACGTTGAAGATTTGCTGACAGGTAGATGTCCAGGTGCACCTGCCGGCGCCTGCCTGATGCACTAGTACGGATAAGAGCCGATATGGTGCACAACAGTCTCCAGTGTTTGTGCAGCTGTTGTACTACTTTCCTGCAATACGACAAAGGTCCGGTAAATTGGATGTACGAGTGCAATCAGGCATAGCCCGAGGGAAACAGGTCGTTCAAGCCAGCCAAAACCAGGATTCTAAAAGTGCCGCTAGCAGAGGATTCTAGGAGTATAGGTTCCTTAAGGGACTGTTGGGTTCGATACCTGGCTTGAACCCCCCTCTCTTAAGGATCCCATCATAATAGCTCTGGCATGACGAGTCGCATCCTCAGCCTAATCAAGCTATCCGAAACAATTTCGTCTGCTTGTTGAGGCGTCGGCTGGTTCGAACCGTCTTCGTCCACTCGGTCGATGTAGTGGCGCAAAGCTTCGACGGAGATCTCGGCAGAGACTGCTTGTTGATGACTTTATGCTACGAGTACCTCGGAAAAGGGTCTTCACGAACCATTGACTTTTGTCCAATGAGAAACACTGGCAATCTGCAACAGTAGGATTAACGACGCTGCAGTGCTCAGTGCGTTCCATCTGCGGCCTGGCTTATGCTACTTAGCTTCTAGCGACGATGTCGTCCCTCTACACATCCTCACACCGGCAACCTTCAAAAGTAGTTGCCTATCTGCCAGAGGCATTTTCCAAACCGAAGCCAAGGGCCCCAAAAGGGATGCGATAATATGAAGATATGTATTTAAGACTTCCGCAGACCAAGCCTTCTATCAACTGAAGAGGTAGGCAGACTTAAGGAGGCGGCAATCTGTGGTCCGAGGCCCCAGCCCGGTAGCCGAACTCCCGGAAAATGTCGCCTCGGCCGCCGTTCTGCGTTTCACGTCCGTCTTGGGCATAGATACATTTGCAGGCCTATAGCAGCCCGTACCCCGAAAATGCACCAGGTCTGGGGTAGACACAGCTGAATGCAGGGTTTTCCTTCAACCCTGCATCCTTAAATCCTCCGAAACCACCTCAACCCAGTGCCGCCTGGGGTCCTGAATCCATATAAGAATTCAGAGACGCAGCCCCTCCTTCAAAGGTACCACACAGCCATCCCTGAAACCCAGCCAGCAGCCTAATGCAGCCTTACCACATAAAGGTTCAGGGCCGGAGAGGTGAACCCCTTGGCCCCACATGGTATGCTAACATGAAGCGTTGCCTCAAGCCGCAAAGCACAAGATGAGGTCCAAATTCGACTCTAAACATATATTGGCCTAAACCTAAACCCTAAACCCTAAACCCTAAACCCATGGGGTCCAAACTCAGCTCTAAAGTGCTGATGCTGCCGCTGCCGTCCTGCGCAACACACGCAGGACACGAGCTGATGTTTGAGTCTCGCGGGTCGAAGCCGGGGAGTGCTATAATTTAGGGACCTTCACAATTAGAATAGGGTTTTGGGGTAATCCCTTAAAGGGATTCTATAAGGCTAAGGGTTTAGGGTTTAGGGGCCTTAAGAATTAGACTAGGGTGTGGGGGCCCATTATACTATAATTATAATCAGGAAACCTACATTCTGCCGGGACTTTCCACGATTTTGGGGCCGCAAGGAAGGACGTTGGTGGAACTGTCTATAACTACCAGCCTTAAGGGCTTTAGATGTTTCATTGCTGCAGCGCGGAAGGCCTGAATTCGAGCATGTGAGTGTGGTTGAGAATGCGTGCTGGTGGAAGGCAAACAACAATTAAAAACCATCTGCGCGACGGTGAAAGTGCCTATACTTCCGGGACTTACATATACAGGGCATGTAGCTCGAAAATGCTTCGCATATGCTCGGGCCTCAAAGCCTTAACCGAGACAGCCGAGTCCCTTAACACTGGATGTTAAATAT